CGGTCAACTTGGCAACGACGGTTCCTTCTTGCCCTCTTGGCATCTCAGGCCGTGGAAAGGCCGTTGATACCGAATATTCGGTTTAACCTACTTGGTTTGTCCAACGCAAATGCCATCTTGGACTACCGTTTCGACATTGCTGGCATCCGCCAGCTCGGCTACCATCTCGGTCTTTCTGCTGTGCTCGTGACTGCAAGCCAGAACCGAGTCCTCCGAGACGAAGCAATGTGCATACTGCTGGGGCGACTTGCGTTCCCTACACGCCTCCACCACATGTCACGAACGTTTGGAAGATCGCGATCGTCAATTTGCGATGTATTCCTTCATGTCGTCAACTTGCTCTACAACCTATGGGGCCGTGTATTGTATTTCAACAAATCCTTGGTTGTCAAGAACATTGACCGGTAATTAATAAATTTATCTTGTTTGGATTTCATGATTTTGCTATAGATACTGTGCGGCTGTGGCTCGAAAGGGTTCGCCCTTGCCTAACGTTTACGGTTTCATTGATGGGACGAAGATACAAACGTGTCGTATTGAGTCGGTCGGAGACGGCAACAACCTGCAGAAGCAAATCTATAGTGGACACAAGCGCATTCACTGCTTGAATTACCAGGCAGTGACATGCCCCGATGGCATTTGCGTGCATTTCTTTGGGCCGGTGGAGGGCCGTCGCCACGACGCGACAATGCTGCGGGAGAGTAAGCTGCTTGAGTTCTTCCAGAACAATCGAGAAGTATTTTTTTCCAAGTATATTTACGGTGACCCAGCGTACGGAATTGTGGAGTACCTTCTGTCCGGATACAAAGGGAATGATGTTGGCGTCCTCAAACGCGACTTCAACAAGTGGATGAGTCGTGTTCGCCAGTCCGTGGAATGGAACTTCAAGATTTTCAAGACTTTGTGGTCATTTATTACATTCAAGATCCTGTCCAAGATCCGACTGTCACCTGTGGCCAAGATTGTGTGCATTGCCATGCTGCTCACGAATTGTCACTGCTGCCATTTTCGTGGCAACCAAATCAGCCAGTACTTTGACCTCGAGCCACCTACGTTGAAAGATTACCTGAACATGTTGGAAATTGTAGAAGTTTAACAAAAAAAATCTACTACTTGT